GTCATTTTAAGTCTTTTCTTAAGAAACTTTAAAGGAAATTTGAATTAACGGTAAGCAACAGCCACCAGGTTACTTATTAAATATAATAAGATATATCCATAGTTATACTTTAAATCCATTTAAATCAGGTTTAAATGGTTAAACTGGATTAAACTGGAACAGTTGGTCTTTGGCTGATTTTTGTTGTGAAAACAGAAAAAGTTGAACAGGTTCAGGTCTCCCAATTTGAAAAACTGTGTGCTGACCAAAAATGATTTTTTAAAATGATTTTAATAATTTCAGCATGTCTTATAAACAAAACTAACTCAAATGTGTTTTTTATTCATTCATTTATTTTTCATCATTAATAGCAACAACAACAAAAAAACAAAAAACAAAAAGTGATTATGAACAGAGTTTCATTAAGCATTTACTGAAAGCAGAAATAAGGGCAGTTTTTATTACATCTCTTTGGGTAAAAACTTCATAAATTAATTTGCATTATCATATTTTATTTCTTTAAAATAGTGAGTAGTGAAAAAGATCTGAAATAAAGTCGCTTGAGAAGCGACTCTTTGGAGAAAACTTCCCCTGCGTCTCTTCCGTCTGCTTTAGAGCGGCTCTGTGTCTGAGACTGAAAGGACTGCCGGCTGCCTGCTAGAAAGAGGAATGAAGCCTGAGGAGCAAAATTTATTGAATTTCACTTTTAATTGAAACAATTCGAGATGATTAAAAATGAAGCCCAGAATAATCTAGAAACTTTACAATCACTGCTCTAAGCTGCAAAAAGGTAAGTGACATTCCTATGTCCACTGCAAATGTATCGATCCAGTTTCTAAGGAAAGTATTTTAGAAGAGGCAGACTGGAATCCTGCCAAGAGGTGAATCTGCCATTTTTAAAAAGGGAAGAAGAGAAGACACTAAAGGGAAAAAATTATATTTTTTCTGGAAAATTAGAACAAAAGTTCCAAAAGAAAAAAAAAAAGATCACATCACAGAATTTAGTCATCTGGAAAAAAAAAATGTATACAGGAGTTTAAGAATTCAAAAATTGAAATGAAAGCTGTTTCTCTAAACTCTGTGTTTCTTGTAGTATCACATGCTCTACCTCGTGGCTGAAGTATCACAGTTTTGTAAATGTTTGACTTGAAAAGACCCATAAACTTATGCATAAACTGGCTGAAACTCACTTTGTTTACCAAAATGCACATAACTAAAACCGTCAGCATTCTGATGGTTTCAAATGATTTTTTTCTTTAGATAATAAAAGCATTGGTAACAAAAGTGGAATCAAATTATGCTAAAAAACAAAAAAATGTATAAAGATGCCCTGATCTTCATCTCTGTTATTGTGACAAGATTAAAACATATTATTTTAACCATCAAAGCAAAATTTAGAATCCAAAATTTGTAACAATGCAAAATTAAATTTAAATTCAAAACTTGTTTCATTTTTTGATAAAAAAACAAACAAAAAAAAAAACAATGTTGGTGAAATTAGCAAAGACTTTTTTAACCTTCTTTTTCTTCAGACATGACACTAACAAATTATTTACACGTTTACTTCAACAAAATGAAAACAAACCCCACAAGACACCTACTCGTAATGTTTCTGAATAATAATCTCACTACAATCAAATTTACAAATGTACTGAAACAAAATCACCAATAAAGTTGAGAAACATTTATAGTAAAATGTTACCTTTTTGTATAAAATGCTTTCTCTGAAAAACCCTACCAATATTAGAAAACAATTGCCCTGTTGAAAAAGAAAGAACATATGTTTTTTTCTGGAGATAAATTTATTTTTGATTAACATTTGAACAGTATAAATATACATATATTCTGCAATTAACTATTTTTTTTATTAAATTAACTTTTAAATTTCTATTATTAAGTATTCTCATTCGATTGTGTGTAAAATATGTTTTGAGAGATAACTAATATGTTTTGCAAAGTTTAAATAAATGAGAACAAAATGTGTTTTCTTTTTCTCTTTTTTTTTCTTTAGTCGGTCCTGATGTTCCTCCGTCCCTGTTCGTCCTCAGTCCTCTGTCGAATCCTGACTCCCCCCTGAAGTCAGCAGATGATCTCGGTCCAAACGTCTGTCTGGCCACAGGTTTCCGTCCAAAGGGGGGAGAGGTGGTTGTGAATCAGAAAGGGGGTCCGGTCAACGTGAGCACTGATGATGCAGTTCTGTCAAAGGACGGGACCTACAACTATGCTGTATTCAGCAATGAAACCATTTACTCCTGTGGGATGAACGGGACCTTCGGCAACAATGAAGCTGGTACTAAAATCATAAAGTTTTGTTTGTTGCGAAGAGTTTAAAACTGTCAGCTGCTTAAAAATGCATCTTTGATTAAATCTAACTCTACCACTAAATAGGAGGAAACCAGGCTCAGATAGATAGTCTGTCAGAGTTTTCCTGATGTTTGTGTGGCTGATGTTCTTTCTGTCTCCAAACAGATGATGAATGTGGCAGCATTTATCCAGGTCAGTCTGATCTCTTCCTGTCTCAGTTTGGTTCCATCGCTGCTGTCAGCTGTTTGTGTTCAAGTCTGAACTCTGTTTCTCTGTCGTCCAGAAAAAGCCAAGCTGAACTTCTACCTGCTGCTGATGAACGGAGTCCGAGTGGTGTTCACCAAAGCTCTGGCCTTCAGCACCGTCCTCACCATCAGAGGCCTGATCTTCTGAAACTGAGCCTTTTAGGCCACCATGGATTCAGTGTAGAAATGCAAAGAATTGGCTCCATTGCCAACCCACTAGAGCATAATATATCTAAATTCATAGTCTGATTAAATAAAAACTGATGTCCTTTTGAAAATAGTCCCTTTAAACTTAGTGTTTGCTATATTTAGCTATTTAACTTTTTTAAGGGTTTGTCTTTGTTTATGTTCGAAGATCTTTAAATACATCTTCTGTTCACCTTCTTTTTCCATTTAAAACTTTGTACGTTTCAATTTTTCTGTCTTTTTGTTGTTATTATTTTATGGAATTATCTGCTGAATTACTCAATAAATCACTTTCCTGGTTGAAACATCACTGGTTTGATTTAAATGCAAAACAAATCAAACGCTGCAACTTAGTGTTCATATTTTTACCCAACACACTTTACTTTCGACGTAAATGATGACATGTTTGAGAAAGAACACATTGTGCATTTGAGATCAGAAAACATATTGAGTCTTCTATGAAATATTAGACGTAGACATCAATAAGGTTAGAACTAACTTAAGAAAGGTTAAATTACCTAAGTTAAAGACAGCAGGATATTGAAACCAAGTTCAAGATATTTCAAGTCATAATGGCCTTTTTTAAACAAGTTTTAAAATGCTGTTAAACTCTTATGTGAAATCCTCCAGACATCAAGAGCAGCAGTTTGATCGGTTGAAACCACATCCAAGCAGGAAGCTGAAAATGCAGCTCAAAATCTGATAGAAACTAAACAGCAGCTCAGTTTCACTTGAAAAGCATTCTGTGCATCCTCTGTACATGAAACCTGCATAATCTTTTCTGAAAATCAAAAACATATTTTGTGCCATGATGATAGCAAAGATAGGTTCTTTTTTTATGAACTTATTAATGAAGTATTTTTTTTTCTATCACGGTGTCAAATGAAAATGTGTCATAAGAAAACATATCTTTTTTTTTTTCCAGTATACATTGTGTCCGTTTTTTCTTTTCTTTTCTTTTTTTCTTTTGCAAATTGGGCTTATTCAAATAAAATACAATGTAGGAGGAGCTTTTGTGAACCAGTTCTGGGGGACATTTACTTTCCATGACATTAGAGGAAAACTGATGGTCTGGAAACATACTGGCCACAGTTCAAACATGACTCACATGCAGATGATCCTGTTTGTGGCTGCTGTGTTTATTTTGGCTGCTGAAGGTCAGAGCATCACTGAATCTGAACCTGCAATAAAAAAACCTGGAGAGTCTCACAGACTCACCTGTACAACATCTGGATTTGACTTTAAGTACTCAGTGTGGGTTTGGGTCAGACAGGCTTCTGGTAAAGGACCAGAATGGATTGCTTTGGTGCACACATATAGTAGTCCCATCACTTATTCAGACTCAGTCCGGGGTAGATTCACCATCTCCAGAGACGACTCCAGCAGTAAAGTCTATCTCCAGATGAACAGTCTGAAGACGGAGGACTCGGCCGTGTATTACTGCGCTAGAAGAGACACAGTGAGGCAAAGTGACGGAGGAGTCAGACAAAAACTACTTCCTCTGTTTGAAACCACAATAAAGAGCGTATGGGTGTTTATTTAGTTTAATGCAAAAATCTACACAGTTATTGTTTTTTCTGCACATCTAAAGTATGCATAAGCTCTAAATGAGCTGTTTAGGAAAGAGTTATACATGAACACAGTAAAAAGTGTACACATTTTGGTTGAATAAGGCTAAACAAGCAACAAAAAAAGTTAATTTTTTATTTATTTTTCTTCAGTTTTTTTTTCTCTGGCTCAGATAAAAGATTTTAAGCCATATTGAAAAATAATGAGCTGTATTCAAAATGCATAAGAAATCAATGTTTATTTTTCTTTCATTCATCAGTTTTGGTTTAACTTCCCCTCTGGTTGGGTTGCAGGTTTTTGTACTTGGATTTATCATAGTGATTGGTATACGACAGCTGGGGGGTACGTAGAGACACACAGATTTATCCCTGTACAAAAACTCTATGACAAAACAATGAGATTAACTACCTTTATTTTAGACAGAGAAAAACATAAATCTGTATTTAAATGAAATAAGTACTGTGTGCCACTATTTTAATAAGCTGTTTGACATTTAAAAGTTATTTTAAAACCTTTTAAAAGTACTTTGGTGAAATGCTATCTAAGTCTGTTTCATTTTTGAGACTTTGTCAATAATCAATGCAAAATGTTTTCATCAAAATTATTGATATCCAAAGAACATCAGAGTGAAAACATGTTTAATAATATTTTTTTAAAATTTTTTGAGTTTTAGATTTTTGCTTTTTTCTGCTGCTTCATGTTTTTGTTGAAGGAATCAATGGAGATGTAGCACTGTGATTATGCTCTTGACTACTGGGGAGCAGGAACCAAAGTCACTGTTCCGTCAGGTAAGACAATCTAAAGTTATTATTTATACATGTTTATTTTTTTGTTGTTGTTGTTTATTTATTTGTTTTATTTTGAAACTTTATGCAACAATTCTGGTACTGTGATGGTGTTATGGTAAAGTGAATGCTGCATTAATAAAAACAATTGCAGAAAGTGCGGATCTTCATTTTATATGTTAATTGTTCTCAAACAGTTATTGGTTTTCGTTGTCTTAATTGTTAAAGTTGAAAATAACTTTTTGTT